TGTTCCAAATCCCAGGGGTCTTTTTCAGTATGCGCCATACACAATTAGTGATGTAAATGCACTGGACCCATTGAGTCAAAAGCAGTGAAGTGCATAGCTGCTTGTATTGTTGCATTTACCACCTGGGTTTGTTTTGTCCTGGATCCCTACTCAAAACCCAACTTCTTCAAATTTTAACATGTATTCATTTTTGAGAGACAGAGGGCGCAAGCAGGGTAGGGGCAGATAGGGAGGGAGACAGAATCCGAAACAGGCTCCAGGCTCCAAGCTGTCAGCACAGAGTCCGACGAGGGGCTCGAACCCATAAACTGTGAGTTCATGACCTGAGCTGAATCAGACGCTTAACTGACTGAGCCATCCAGGCGCCCCTCAAAACCGAACTTCTTATCACTGATCATTGTAGCTCTTCCTAATGTATTTGTGTTCAGATTATAGTTCACTAGAGATCTTCATTTTGGTTCTGAGAAGTTATAGGTCTTTTCACTTTAAAAAAAGATGAGGGGCACCTGGGTGGATCAGTTGGTTAAGTGTACAATTTAGGCTCAGGTCATGATCTCACAGTTCATGGGTTCAAGCCCCGCATCAGGCTCTGAGCTGACAGTGCAAAGCCTGCTTGGGATTCTCTCCCCCTCTCTCTGCCCCTCCCTGACTTGTGCTTTCTCTCTCTCAAAATAAATAAATAAACTTAAAAAAATTAAGATACCTGATCAGTAGGTAGATAGACAAATGGATAATCACATTGTGTCTGGGGTAAAGGGAACTTTTAAAGTGTGACCTTATCTGCTTTCTCATAATCACTTAGTTTTTTGTATACCCTTCCACTGTTTGGTATGCAAATATAAGCACACGCAAATGTTTTCTTCCTCTATACCCAAAATACAACATATTATATTACACATATTTCTGAAACTTGCTCTTTTTCACTTAACATTGTCTCTTTCTATATTAGGAATAAAAGTGTCCTTACTCTCTTTTGTACAATTTCTTAATATGCACCAGTGTATTATTTTATCAGTCCCCTAATGATGGGTATTTGGGCTACAAAAAGTTTCAATGAATCACCTTTTTACATATATCATTTTGCACACACATGCAAGTATATTCCAGAATTAGGATTGCTGGGTCAAAAGACTGAAGTATTTGTAATTTTGGACAATAGCTGCCAAATTCTCTTTATATGAATTATACCAATTTATAATTCCAGTGGTAATGTATAAGAATGCTTGTTTCTTTAAAATCTTACAAAACTTTATCAAACCTTTGAATTTCTGCAAATCTGAACTTCTAGTTTGCACTTCTGAGATAAAGCATCTTTTTATACATGTAAGTGCCACCTGTTCTCTGCCTATTCATACATTTTATCCATTTTTCTCTTCAGTGGATGCTTTTTGATATTTAGAAATATTAGAGATTAGCCTTTTGTGAAAATTACTTGCAATTCTTATTCACATTTATCATTTGTCTTTTGACGAATGGTACTTTCTTGCCATGCAGACTTTATCAATCTTTTCTGGAATGGCTACTAGATTTTGAGTCATAGTTAGAAAAATCTTTCCCAATGTAACCATTGTAAAAGAATTAAACTAGAGAATAAGGTTAAACTTTCTGCATAACCTTTTGATCTGTTTACAAGGGATTTTATGCAAAATGGATCATGGCTATATAATAGGACCTACTTCTCAGCCATGGTCCCTTGCACAGATAATGTGATAAAGGACTGTCTTTAGAACTGTTTCCCTGACCAGGGCGCCTGGGTGGCTTGGTCGGTTAAGCGTTCTACTTCGGCTCAGGTCATGATCTCACAGTCCGTGAGTTCGAGCCCCGCGTCGGGCTCTGTGCTGACAGCTCAGAGCCTGGAGCCTGTTTCAGATTCTGTGTCTCCCTCTCTCTCTGCCCCTCTCCTGTTCATGCTCTGTCTCTGTCTTAAAAATAAGCGTTAAAAATTAAAAAAAAAAAAAAAAAAGAACTGTTTCCCCTGACCAATGAGCTATATCAAATAGCTAAGAGGTTTATCAATAACAGCTTGTGGTCTATGAACTCAGGAAGACCTTATTTGAATCAAAGGCCTTATACAACCTATAAGAATTAAAGCAGGAAATAATTAGCAGCTATGTTCACAAGCTAAATGAAATTTCATATGAAGTCTGAACAAAATTAATTGCTCATTTATAATATATAAATGGAGTGTTTGACATGAGTGTACTGACTTTCTAGATTTCTGCTTGAAGGGAGAAGAGATGAAACACTGAAATTAATAGTATATGATGTACATAATTATATCCAAATAATATCACCTCCCATTTTTGAGTGCCTTCTATTTGTCAGATGTTTTACTTTTAACATTATAACATACAGATCACCATTTCAGAAATGGAAGAGTATGACCCAGACAGATCAATAAACTGTGCCCAAGTTCAAAGATCAATAAACTGTGCCCAAGTTCAAAGATCAATAAACTGTGCCCAAGTTCAAAGAACTGTTACTTGGCAGAAATAAGCCAAAGCTTACATATTTTCCATATTACTATGGGTCTCCATATACACTATGTGGCTGGTTAGCTTTCTCAATTGCGTGTGTGTGTGTGTGTGTGTGTGTGTGTGTGTGTGTGTGTGTGTGTTTTAAGGAAAATGTGGGATCTTGTATTATGATGATTTGGACCATTACAAACATTTCTATGAAAAACTATAGTAATGTGTTTATTCTGGCTTGGAGTCTGAGTAACCTCTGTATCCCAAGGATATTAGCACAGTAGCTGACTGAATAAACATTCCATGTTTGCTGAAGGAGTGATATGAGCCTGTAAATCATGGTAATTAAGTTGCAAAATCTACGCAATTCACAGTTATGTCAGGAAAAAAATTAATTTTGGTTTAGTATCTATGTTCATTTAAATTAGAAAATCTAAAGCAATAACCTGGAAAGTATTGCATATGGTTATATGGAATGAGCCTTCTATACAGAGTGTGAGAAAAATGAGACTAAAGTTGACCCCTGAAAAACATGGGAGGTTAGGAGTGCCAACCGCCCCCCCAACACACACATAGTTGAAACTCCACATATAAGCTTTGACTCCCTCAAAACTTAACTAAGAGCCTACTGTTATCTGAAGCCTTACCAGTAATATAAAGTCTACTAACACACATGTATTACATGTATTATACACTATATTCTTACACTAAAGTAAGCTAGAGGAAAGAAAAAAATCATAAGGAAGAGAAAATACATTTACAGTACTGTACTGTATAAAAAATCCTTGTGTAAGTGAATCTGCCCAGTTCAAATCTGTGCTGTTCAAGGGTCAACTGTAATTTACTCTCCACATAACCTCTTTATTTTTTTTAAATGTTTACTTATTTGAGAGAGTGAGAGGGAGTGAGCAGGGGAGGGGCAGGGAGAGAAGGAGACAGAGAATCCCAAGCAGGGTCCACACTGTCAGCACAGAGCCCAACAGCGGGCCTCAAACTCATGAACCACGAAATCATGACCTGAGCCAAAATCAAGAGTTGGTCGCTTAACGGACTGAGCTACCCAGGCAACCTTCCATATAACTTCCGCTAGAAACTTTAAGCTAGTAGAAGAAATTATCTACAACTATTTCATATTCTGTGTATGCAAATTCCATGTCCTCTGCAGCTATAGAATGAGTTAATCAACAGAGTTAACAGTTGGTATCTAAGAGCAGAAAAATTTTTATTTCATTTTCAATTATGTAAACCATCATTAGAAATTCATTATAGGGGCACCTGGGTGACTCAGTTGGTTAAGTGTCTGACTTTAGTTCAGGTCATGATGTCATGGTCCATGGATTTGAGCCCCACGTTGGGATCTGTGCTGACAACTAGGAGCCTGGAGCCCACTTCAGATTCTGTATGTCTCTCTCTCTCTCTCTGCCCCTCCCATGCTCCCACACTCTCTCTCTCTAAGATAAATAATAAACATTAAAAAAAATTTTTTGAAAAGAAATTCATTATAAATATACCTTACCAAACCATTAAACTCTCAAAATGACCAGATTCATTAAGTATTAATTAAGTAAAAGAAGGAAACTTCACTGGTTTTACCAACAAAATATTTCAATTGGCTCCCGAAAACGATTTTGGTTACTGTGTTTCATCAAACTAACAATCTTGTGTATGCAATATCTTTTGCTTTGGTCCCATGAAAAGCTCAAAGTGATTGTGAGAGCTAATTTTTTTGTGCTTACTAATAAACAAAAATAAAACACATGCATATTAGAAGCATCACATATTTAATGTCAAAGAATTTGAATTCAAGTACAAAAATTAAACAACACATGATTTCAACATTAAAAAACCATTAACACTTATTATTCAAACAACTATATAGTGAATGTCAAAAACAAAAGAAGCATAACTATAAAAACCTGAAATACATTAACAGCAAAATTATAATTTATTACTATAACAAATAATTAACTAAAATATTTATAGTTGTTTTCAAGGACCACAATGGTATACTACTTTTTCTTGGTACTGCATAAAATTTGCATCTTAATCTTTTGTCCCTTCATTACTTTCTACATAATAGCTAGATGCTTCTAGTTAAACAATTCGTATAATCTCTAATATAGATAGTGATCCTTGGTAATCAAATCTAGTATAACCATTCTCTGCAAGTGCTTAAATATTTGTGAAATGCTAGTTAGCAAAATTATTATGCAAAAATTTAACATAAACTACTGGGTTCTATTTCCCACTCAGGAATTAGAAGTATTTAAAATCCCAAAAGTTTAAAAAGAATAGCAGTTTGCTATACCTTTATCAAGGGTAACCACTGAATAACTTTTTAAACTTAGCATTTTTATAAGTTCTAGAACTGTAGGTTATTCAGAATTACGGTTGATGTTTCCTATGTTGAAATAAATATATATTTATCATTTTAAAACCAAATGTGTAAACCCGATTCTAAAATGAAACTAAAGTATTTTAGTTTGCATGCTTTACAAAGAAACTTTCATACTCATGTTTACAATATCTTCTTCAGAAGAATGAGGCCTGATTGGAGATATATAGTCGCTGTCCAACATGGCTGCCATTAGCAAGTGATATTGTTGGTGACAAGGGATAGCTTGGATAAGAATAAGGCCTTGAAGTATAAGGAAGCACGCTGGGAGTCGCAGAAGAGAGGGTAGCACTAACAGGGGAAAGACTATTTATTGAGCTGCGACGGAAATTGTAGTCTGTAAATAAATACATGAACAATTATGCTGCACATCTTTATGGATACAAATTTAATTCAAAGAGACAAAGCGTTAAAACTATAATCACAGTTTAACATAATGTCCTAACATCTGAAATCCTACTAATACTATTTTGCTGGTAAAGACTGAGCATTCACTGCATTGCAAGTTCTGATAGTTTTATCAGCCAGTATTACGTTTCTTTCACTGACTCAGCACTTCAGAGATATTACTAGAATGCATTCTTGGATATCTTTTTCTTACATATCTTTCAATTATAAGCTTTGTGTCTTTTTGATCACAGAAAAAAAAAAAAGAGAACCTTTGATTTCTCTTGCTCCACAATGAAGCTCCTTTTAAATTTGGTTCTGATGCTAAGAGGTAGTCCATGGAGAAAAGATAAAAAACAGCAAATTCATATTTGCTTACTTTTTCTTGAAACTGTATTAGGCATCAAACCAGATGAAGCATTCTCCCCTGGACTGCAAAAACATTTGGTGTAAACTAACTGACCAATATTTCATTATTTAAATACTAATATAAATGTTTGTATAACTCAATACACCAATTTAACATTAGAGTTCCTACTTGTACCATAAAACAATAAAATGAATCATGTTTATAAAATTAACTTCAAGAAACCATTATCAACTTATAGTATAGAAAAACCCAAAAATTAAAACCAAATTATTTTTTTAAAAACCAATTATATTTGAAATATTACTATTCCACAATAAACATTCATCTTATGCACCAATAATTTCCTGCTTCATTAATTATAATGTTTATGTTTATGAATATTAAAGACCAAATTGGTAAATCCTGTACTTTCCAAAAACTCAACTATGTTCTTTAGGGTAGTAGAAGCCAAGGGTCTGACAATGACTATAAAATGATTATTTATAAAAGTCATGGTGTTTCTAGGAAGGAAAGAAAAGGAATTAGGTACTCCAGTGTACAAATAAGGTTTTTTTTCTATATTTTCCTGGTATTATAGATGAGGCCTAAAACACTGAGCATTAACTGAATGTTGTCATGGGACTTAATATTTAGCCAACAGGAATGAGACCAACTGCAGGAGAGTAAGCTCAAGCAACATCAGTAAGGACCTAGTTAAAAAAAATGGAAAAAATAAAAATCAGTTAAAGATAGGTTTAATTTCTAGCACCATAAAACTCTAACTTTATTAATTTTATAATCTTTTTATTTTTTATTAATGGTACCCATAAGATTAATAAAAGCAGTCTGTTCCAAGAAGAAAAATACATTAAAAATATCCAGTTCAAAATACTTTCAGCATTTTGAAATTGGATAAAGAGTTACTCTGATACCATTTGCTTTTCTAATATCCAAAGTAGGATAAGTAGGTATCACAGAATTATTTTTCTTCTCTTAAAGGATCCACTTTGCCTGAAGGGTATGGTATTTAGTATTGACAGAAACCTTAATGCTCCTATAACTCAATTGCTTAAAAAAAAAGTTCTGATTCTCTCCTCCTAAAGATTATTACACAAATATAGTCAATTCCTTATTAGCCATGTATCTACAATACAACTAGCTCTTTCAATTTTTAACAATGCAGTCACAGACAATATGATTTAGAAAAACAGATCTTTTAACTGTTAGACTTCTCAGGGAAAATGTAGTTTTCAGAGAAATTACTTTCACTTGGGGCTGACATCCGTGCAACAGTTAATGCAGCCTATTCACTGAAATATAAATAAAAGAGGTATCTTCAGGAAATCATTTCACAAAGAAGACAGCCAGGCAATTGGCTACTGGCATAGTACTTAGGTCTGAAAATGGGCATTCCTAATGGTCTCCTAGGTAAAAACACACTAATCAGCTGTGGTCTTCTCACATTTCTAAAGAGACTAAAGTACAAAATTAAATGTTGATTCTGAAGACTTTATTCATATAGGATAAACCAAGAAAAAAAAAATTTCCCCCTGATACTACAAAGCTTAAGAAATGAAAGCTTCAATGTTTGTTAAGATTTTACAAGCATTTCAAAAATAAATTTTATTGCAATATAAGAATCAAAACATATTCAGAAAAACACATCTGGGTGATTAGAAAACACATTATCAAATAGTAACTAGTGACATAAACCTAGATAAGTCATGTTTTCCTTAGCTCTAACACACAATATATATCACAGAAAATAAAAATCAGAAAGAATCACTGACTTTTATAAAATAACAAATTAATAAGTGAGTCAAAATTCCTACCACATACTTAACTTGCCCATCCCTGGTTTTGTTTCCCAATGAACATCCTTAGCTCTTCAATCCCACAGTTTCTGCCTCAGACTGGGATCTACACTCCCCTTTCCCTTTCTGAAGGGAATGATACGAGTTTTACACTCAGAATTACTCAACTGTCTTAATATTCTTTTTAAATTAAGGTACAATTTACATACAATAAAATTCATACATCCTATGTGTTCATTTCAATGAGTGTTGATAATTGTATAAACTTATGCAAACAATACCTAAAACAAGATCTAACACATATCCACCAATCCAGAAGCTCCCTGTGCTCCCTTTCAATCAATAGCCCTTCTGTTGGAGGCAACCACTTTCTGATTTCTCACTATAGCTCAGATTTACCTATCCTTAAACTTCACATAAAATGTATTTTTTAAGTTCTTTTTATGTCCAGCTTCTTTCTCTCAATATAATTTCTAAGATTCGTCCATGTATGTCATGTATGTCAGTAGTTTATTCCTTTTTTATTGTTCATCAGTACTGTTGTATGTATATACCATGTTTTTTATCCATTTACCTGTTGACAGATAAATATTTGAGCTGTTTCTAAACTCTTATTACGAATAAAGCTACTATGAGCATTCTTCCACAATTCTTTTTGTGGATATATGTTTTCATTTATTTTGGGTAAATAACTGGGATTAAAATTATTGGATCATAGGGCAAATAGATACTGCTGCACCATTCTCCATGGTGTGACCATTTTACATTCACACCAGTAAACTATGAGAGCTCGGGCTGCCCCACATCTTCACCAACATTTGGTATTTATTGCTAGAGTTTTTAATCAGAACTATTCCAGTAGTGTGAAATGGTATCTCATTTTGGTTTTAATTTGGATTTCCCTTGTGATTAATAATGTATTCAGTGCCCATTTGAATATGTTCTTTAGTAAGATATGTATCCAAGCCTTTTGTTCATTTTTATTGGTTTGACTTTCTATTGTTGATTATTATTAATAAAGTTTTTAACTAATCAAATTCTCTAATTCAATATCATAAACCAGGGATCGGTTGAGTCCTCAGTAGCCTCTAACTCCAACCACCTCTTTTCACTGAAAAATGACACAGACAAAAGACGGTTGATTAAGTGACTGTTCAATATTCCCAGTGTTGAAGAAAAACAAGTTAAAAATTAGGCCTCCTAATTCCTAGGAAACTACTCTACTTGACCAAACTTTTTCACTCTGGCAGTCTTGAGGAAAGTATATCAAGAGGTTGTCATGGCTAGGGGAACAGAAATATAGTAGATGGTGCGCTAAGCTACCTGGCTGCAGCTTGCACCTGCCCAGCCCGACACTTGCATTTCAACCCACACAGCTCTGCATTCCCTTGTTTTATGTGCTACATGTTATCTAATAATTTCATTTGAAGAAAAGGCCCTTTTACAAAAGAAAAAAATGTGTGAGAATAACTTGCTCTAATACAGAGATAGCATTTTGATCAAATCCTCTAGAATTCTGTATTTATATCTTGAATGAATATAAACATTTTCACAGAATAACTTTGATCTATATTAAGATTAGCATATAGGCTTAACCTTACGTGCCAATTCTAATCAAGTAGTATGGCTAAAAGGATCCCAAATTCCAAATGATTTGGAAGCTGAGTCTAGAATGAGCAGGAAAGTGTATAGTTAGTAACTGTTGTGCCACTGACACGGGAGCAAGTGCAGAGACTGGCGGCACATTCACCACCTACTTGTCAATCCCACTTTTGTAAGCGATGTAAGTTGGTCTACTACATTTCTCTGTCCAACACAAGAGATGAATACCACCAATACATTTCTCAGTGAAAATCTATGCAATGGACGTAAACTGCTTTACTCCATTTGTGTCTAGTTTTTTTGTTTGTTTTTGATTGTCTTACACATCTTGAGCAAACACCATGGATTCTCTGCTTTTCTGCTTCATATAAAGAGGGAGGAATTCCTTAATAGAGACCTTAAGTTGTGTTCAATGAAAGTGTCTTCTTATATACTTATTTTGGCTTTTTCTTTTAGTTCGTTTCTGACCACACTCTTCAATTTTCCGTTAATAAGTATATTCCTCATAATTGTTTTTTTCTTCTCCTTGTTAACTATTTGAGTTCTACCTTCACATCCACTCCCTCTTTCTGATGTACCCTTTTTAGGTGTACAATTCAGTGTTTTTTAAAACATTCACGAAGTTGTGCAACCGACACCACTATCCTTTCTCACCTTAAGGTGATTTTCATCACCTTAAACAAAAACTGTACCTATTAGCAGTCACCCCCCCCCCAATCTCTCCCCCAGGCCTAGCAACCACTAATTTTTCTGTTTCTATTGATTTGCCTATTCTGGATTTTTGATATAAATGGGATCATACAATTCATATCATCTTTTTTTAACTGACTTCTTCACATAACGTTTTCAAGGTTCATCCATGTTGTAGTATATATGAAAACTTCATTCATTTTTGTATCTCTTGCGTGAACATACCACATTTTGTTTATCCAATCAGTCAACGGACATTTGCTTTGTTTCTACCTGTTGGCTGTTATGAATAATGCTGCTAAGGAATAATGTGTACAAAATTTTGTATGGACACATGTTTTCCATTCTCTGGAGTAAATAACTAGAAATGGGATATGCTGGCTCATATGGTAATTTTTCCAATGTTTATTTATTTATTTATTTTGAGTGTGTGAGAGAGAGAGAGAAAGGGAGAGAGCACAGTGTGCACACAGGAACAGGGATAGGGACAGAGAG